TTAAATCCCGTTTCACTCGTACATGTAAACGTGCAAAAACTTTTTTATAACATTTGCTTTATATATATATATATATATATATATGTACTTGAACATTTATGTGGTATAAACTTGTTCCGAGCATTATGCTTCCTTATCTAGTTACTTTGACATTTCTTCTTCTCGAGCACATATTCAGTGAGCTGTAAATACAGCTTGCTTCCTGCTAAAATATAAATGCTTGTTGCAATACTTACCAATCAATCGTGCAACAGTTTATCAGTGATGGATACATTCTTAAACGTTCCTTGAAGGATTCACCAATTGGTGAAAAGGCCAATGCCACATGCAATTGCTCACGTATCCTTTCAATGAAGTATGCGTACACTTCACTCGGTGCAGTATCAATAACTTTACCCTGTGCAAAATAAAATGTATGAAGTAGAAAAGTTATTTTTACAAAAATATTGCCAGCAAAAGTAAAATAAAATAATATAAAATAAAATAAAATAATGTTAGGTACGGTAAGGTAAATCAGCATTTAAACTTGCTGTCAATCAAGCAATTTGTGCAATGTACTTGCATTAAATTTACTAGTACGAGGTATGAGTTTGTGGTAGTACTTGAGATAAATATCTAGTACGAGTAAATTGTTGAATTGGGTAAATTGTATAAAAATATAAAAAATACAAGAGCAGCATCATATGAAATGCTGGTAACTAAAATTAAATAAAAATATTATTATAACTCTTTTATAATAAAAGATTGAGTTTACTTATCAAATTGGCCAAAATTTAATATAATTGGTTGTAGCTTCTACTTACCTGTTGTTTGGATATAGTTTGCATATTTTCCATTATTGATGCTTTATCTTCAAGTTGATATAGATTAGGTAGATCACCTGTATTTAATATACCATTGATATCTTCAATAAAACCTTCATCAATTGCCTAAAGAAAGCAGAGGTAATCAGAAAATATAAATTACTCTTGAATATGTTTAGAGAAATATATGACTAAAGTAAAAATAGATATTTTGCAAATTCTGAGAAAATCTTAATTTAATAGTACTAAATTGCAGATTTTAACGTTAGTATATTTATATCTTTACAACAATGTTTGCTGTAATATCTAGGTTTTACACACAATATATTTCATTTAAATGCTTCTTTAAAATATGTGTATGCAGTTATTTTAAAATATATGAGATTTAAAATTCATAAAAAACGTAGAAGTAATTTATACAGAAATCTCAACTTAAGAATGAATTGAATTATTTTTATGATTCTGAATCTTTTCTTATGTTATTAAAAAAATAAAATAATATATAAGTTTAAAGAAGTTTTATTTATTTAAATTGTATTTATATAAATTTACTTACACTAAGGTTTAGAGAAATTTTATTTATATAAATATTCGATATGGTTTTGCATTGCTTAAAAGCATTACCAATAAATATAAAAAATAAAATTATTTATAACACATTGGGTATAATGTATTCAGAGTAAAAAGAGATAACTCAGTCCATAACTTTTATTTAAATACCTAACAGAGTAGTTGAGTTCAAAAAAATAGCAAGACTGATTGTGCTAAGAATATAGGAATATGGCTTAAAATTATTGAAAACCACTTAAGAAACGGTGAAATCAGTAATATTTAATTATTTAATTATATATTAATTATTTATTATTTTTATTGAATTATTTTTTATTGAGTTTTTTTTTATGTTTATTTATTTATTTATTTATTTATCTACATTTTGTGGATAAGTACTTGGTTTAGCCATCAATACAGAAAATAGTAGAGTTAAGTATAATTTTACATATATAATATATTTCACGGTGCTAAAATCTAGTGATTAGCCATCACTGTGCTTGGGTATTGTTATTTAACGATATACTGGCCTTGAAACCATGATTTTAAGGCCCATTATACAGCATCGTCCGCTGTCAGCGGGCGATGTTGTCGCTTGCCATTACATGGTCTTTCGCTTGCCATGGTATCAATTTGCTTTCATTAAATGATTTATTTAACTGTAGTGTCTTAAGCTTATGGAGGAGAGTGACAAAAAAGATAATAATTTGGTTTATTCATTTCGACATTTTACATTATAAAGGTATTATCTTCGAGGTTTAGAGATCTATACATGTTTTTAAAAAGTTTCAAATAACAAATTCTCGCACTTGTACAAAAGTGTATGACGGATGGTATTATCTTGTTTTTTATACAATTTTTAGCTTTAATGAAGAATTTTTTTTTCTGTTTTCATTAATTAACAAACCTCTTATGTATGGATTTGTATTAGTTTAATAACACTAGTTTACAAATAATTAAAAGTTTTGTTTTCCAAAGACGGGACTCATATTTTCTATAGGGAAATTTTCCGTAGAACTCGAAAATCATAACGATTTTTTTTTCCTATGTACCGTTTTCGAGATATCTGCAAAAAACCGTTATTTTGACTTTTCTCAAAACATCACCCTGCATATTCCCTCATAGCTTTTTTTCTGAAGTTATCTCGGTAGTGTGTTATATATCAAATTAAAGGTGAAACTTGTACCAATATTTTGAGTTACATAATGTTAATGTAACTTACTTAGTTTCGTTGCTATAGCTAGAAATGTACAGATGAAAAATGTTTTTTTTACGCTTTTTTCAACTTTTTCGATTTTCAAGGTGATGGGACTCCCACAAATATATTAAAAAAAATTTTTTTTTTTAATTAATGTTAAAGACTGTTTTAGTACAAACATTTTGAGTGGCTTAACATAAAAATCGAATAAAAATTTCAGAAGTTATTCGCCATTTGCCAAATTTGCCCAAAATAGTAGTTTTTATTAACAAGTCAGAAAATTCATTTTTTCGAATTTATTTTGTAAAATTTAGAGTGCAAATCAAAACTGTATTATGCAAAATTGCACAAATTTTATTTAAAAAATTAAAATTAATATTATTAAATATTATTAAATATTAAATATTGCATTTTATATAAAAGTTTGACGTCGAACGTAGAACTGCATTATTGAAAGTGAATTTATATAATATAGTGAGGTATATCTGTACTTTGAGCAAACTTCTTATAGTGTGTAGGATTTGTTTCTCTTATAATTGTCCAACAATAATCTCCCAACATGCTTGCGTCTCAATACCCTTGATATCTTTTTTCCATTGCAGAGATATCCTGATGAAACCTTTCACCTTGTTCATCACTTTCTGCACCGAGATTTGAAGGAAAAAAATCCACATGAGAGTGCAAGAAATGCATTTTTAGAGACATAGTTGCGCCAAGAACTTTGTAATTTTCAATTAAATTTCTCTATAATGTGAATCTCTTTCGTTACCCAAGAAGCCGATAACTGTTTGCTTAAACGAAGTCCATGCTTTCAACTCTTTTTTATTCAACACATTATTAAATTTTTCGTCCTTCATCAGTTTTCTGATTTGTGGTCCAACAAAGATACCTTCTTTAATTTTGGCAAAAGAAATGCAGGGGAAGAGATTTGTAAGATATTCGAAAGCAGGGCTTTCGTTTTTTTGCAGAGTCTTAACAAAATTTATCATTAGGCCAAGTTTTATATGCAAAGGTGGCAAAATTATCTGACATGGGTCCACAAGAGCTTTATTCGCGATATTTTGTTTTCCTATTGTGACATCTTCTCTTTTTGGCCAAGATGAACGTATAAAATGATCCTTTGTTGCTCTACTGTCCCATAAACACAGAAAACAACATATTTGGTGGAGTTGGTGGAGCAGTCGCATTGCTTCGTGGAACTGGCTTAATTGCTGATGCTACTTCTGGATACTCTAGAAATCTTATTTTCTTTCGCGACATCACACCTTCAAGATTTATGACGCAGAAATAGCACTGAGAATGGTTTACAACCTCTTTCCATATTATTGGTACACAAAAGTATAAATATTGTTTTTTTCCAATGGACCATCTTTTAAGTGTAATCCTGCAGGTTGGGCATACTCCATCAGGAGTCCACGATTTATCTTGATTAGCCAAAGCAAATCCAAAGTACTTAATGTATGCTACTTCTACATCATTAGTTATATTTCTAAAATCTTTTTTTTTTATAAAATGACCACAAATGAAACAAAAGTGTTTAGGATTGTTTTTACACACGAAATTTCTCTTTGCCATTACAATACAGTATCTCACATATAAAAGTACTCAGAGAATATAAAACTACCAAATTAGAATCATATGGTGTCATATGGTACTATATCATATGTAAAACTACCAGTTTAACAAGCTGCTACAAATTACATGAAACATAGGCAATCAGCAGTTCTACGTTCGACGTCAAACTTTTATATAAAATGCAATATTTAATATTTAATAATATTTAATAATATTAATTTTAATTTTTTAAATAAAATTTGTGCAATTTTGCATAATATAGTTTTGATTTGCACTCTAAATTTTACAAAATAAATTCGAAAAAATGAATTTTCTGACTTGTTAATAAAAACTACTATTTTGGGCAAATTAGGCAAATGGCGAATAACTTCTGAAATTTTTATTCGATTTTTATGTTAAGCCACTCAAAATGATTGTACTAAAACAGTCTTTAACATTAATTAAAAAGAAATTTTTTTTAAATATATTTGTGGGAGTCCCATCACTTTGAAAATCGAAAAAGTTGAAAAAAGCGTAAAAAAAACATTTTTCATCTGTACATTTCTAGGTATAGCAGCGAAACTAAGTAAGTTACATTAACATTATGTAACTCAAAATATTGGTACAAGTTTCACCTTTAATTTGATATATAATAATCTACCGAGATAACTTCAGAAAAAAAGCTATGAGGGAATATGCAGGGTGATGTTTTGAGAAAAGTCAAAATAACGGTTTTTTGCAGATATCTCGAAAACGGTACATAGGAAAAAAAAATCGTTATGATTTTCGAGTTCTACGGAAAATTTCCCTATAGGAAATATAAGTCTCGTCTTTGGAAATTTTTGGCTGTAAACTAGTGTAATTAGAAACGTTTAAGTTTTAGTACATATAAAACTATAAAAGATTGAAAATAAAAGTCAACAGCAATTAATGCAGTATTTATCATTTGAAGTGCAGACTTCTAAACTTTAACCAGTTAACACTCAGGTAGTTAGCTCCTATCTTTTTTTCTCTCTTGATGTAATGTTTATATTTTAATAAATTATTTAAAATAAATAAGTCAATGTATACTACTGAAAACAAAAGAAGTAATTTATAAATTATCATTTCCATAAGTTGCTTTAATTTTTTGCAAAGCATAGCCCATGGAGATATTATTTAATATTTAGATAAAATAATTAATTAATTTATATTTATATTTCATTTAAATTATTATAAATAAATTAAATATTGATAAAAATTTTGAACTACACAACATGTCATTATTATCGTCTTGACATCTTCGCCAAAATTCTTATTAAACTATTGTATATAACCGTATCAATGGATCAATGTAACAAATATGCACATATTGGATGATAGTATCATTGTATAAGACTGCATCAAAGGATGCATTACCAATATTAAAAATAACATAAATCTAATTGCATGTCACAGGTATCAATTTATTATGTCCAAAGTTAGGATTTATGTGCTACAACATCCGTCAGTTCAATAATTTAATTATTATTTTATATATCGCAGTAATGTATTCAATTCATACGTATATCAATAATATTGAGAAGTTTTCATATATTGGAATTTGAATTAATTATTAAGAAGTTCTGATAATGAGAGCCTTTAGAACTAAGAATTGCATCTGTGTATGATGTATAACTGCAATAAATGGAAATGGTTTCCTTAACCAGCTCATATAGTAGGTGTTGCCTGTGTACTAATACAATAAACATTAAATGGAACATTTGCAAAATTTAGTGAGTAAAATTAATTAAAATCAAATTAAAACTGAAATGATGTATGAAATGATGTATATGTGCGCAAATACAAGCCTTAGATGGCTTACTTGTATAATGCTAATATGCATATCGGTCACTTGTGCATGAATATCGTAGAATACTAATCCATAATAAGTACATTTGTCCCCTTCCAGATATCAAACAAACGACACAGTAACATATCTTTGTACTTGAATTCACATCTAGTCTGTAATACACAGGTGTTATGTGCAACAGTGTAATATTATTTGGGCAGGATGTATAATCAAAGAAATACTATAAGTTAGTTCACTGATAAAATTAATTATTATTATTGACTGCTGAAGGCAAAGCTTAAGTTAACTGTAGACTTGGGCTACACTCCGGAAAGGACAAATTCATTATAATTTTTAATATTTGCATAAAATTTATTTGTTAATTGCTAAATTGCTTTTAAATGGAAGCACAATCATCGCTCCTCTTTGTACGTATATCTGTAGCCTGGTCATATTCTTATGCATATGCATGATGCATTATATGTAACTCGATTGAAATATCTTGTTAACATCTTGTCTACATGTTTATTTACAATAAGTTCTCAAAGTTATAATATTTCCTTTGCTTAATTTATTTGCATATGAAATGCAGTGTAAAATTAATTTATATTGTTCCATAAATTAAATTGGAGCCTTAAAATTCGTTATTGTCAATAAATTTAATAATATTTAGTATTGTAAGGGTACGCTCTTTAAATGTACGCTAAAATATACGTATGTGAATAGATTATTAAGTTTATTAGGTTGTATATACGTGCATATCTGATATTTGCAATCATAGTGTTGTATAGTAACTGTAGTAAATGCCAATGAAAGAAACTTAATTATGACTTCCTTAAATAAACAATGAAAATTTGTTCGTGAAGGGAACTTACACATGTAGGACTTGATTCTCTTGTTATTTTGTGGTAGTCCAAAGTAGGTGTTTAATTAAATTTACTTGTGTGTTATGTTAATAGTATTACTAATATTCATTCATATCATATTCCTTATAGCAAATTTGCCCAAATTAGGTCAGAAAAGTCAAGAATTTTCTAACAAAAATCGACAGCATCAACCCATTTGGGAAAATTCATTGATAACTTCATTTATTATCATACGAATTGACAGATTCATAATAAACATTAATAATATTGAATGCTTATAATTTAATTTCAGACTAATGAGTTAATAAAATAAGTGAATTAATTAATATGGCACGAAATCAATGTGCTAATAGAACTTAAGCAGTTTATTTATTGAGTGATTTTTGGCGAAGAAAAAGAAGCCCAAAATAGAATTTTTAAGAATGATTATAAAACATAATTCGTCGGTGCTTATTTTTAGTACATATTATTTTATATAAAATGGCACTTAATTCCTTGATAACTAATCTATCAGCTTCCATTATAATTCTATTAATATTTATGTCGAGATAACATTCAAGGAGGATGTATAAATTATATATATAAGCATCCCAAATAAATTTTCAGTAAAAAAGTTTTACATAACACAGTGGTGCTATAAGTTTCACTTTTGCTAAATCTTTGTATATTCAAACGCGATCCATTGGCTACTGGTGTACCTTAAAAAATAAACTGTTTGGGGGTGTTTATGGGTTAGGAACATTGTTAGACCATACATTATTAAAAATGAAGACAATCGGAAGTGCCGCCTGTACCAGTGACTTGACCAATGATTAATTTTTATTGTATTAGTGAATGTGCTCTGGACCATTTTTGGTTTAAACGAGACTGTGCTATGTGTTATAAGTTGGTTGATAAATCGTTATTAAAACATGTCCTCGATAACTATATTGTTTTCAAAAATTATAAAATCTGGCAAGAATTGATAAGTATGGGGCTGTACTGGTTAACAATCATCGTGTGTTCTTATCTTAATTGTAGTAATTTGTGACATGAGTATGATGGAATGCATGGGTGTGTGTGAAGTGGTCAGACACTGAGGACACCTTCCCATTACTGTTTGGAATATTATTAGTAGTAAAATGAGTGAGTTTCACTTTTGGCAGCCGACTGCAGGTGTAAAATTGATGTCACGGGAAAGTATATAGTAATATATAGCATCAATTAATACTGATGGAATTCGTGGAGTTCCAATTGGTTGTTTAACGGCGCAGTATTTTAATACATATATTAGGGACCCAGTGGTGTTAAGCTTTCACTTTTAATCACTCTGAATTTCTGTCTTCAGCAATGTACTGTTGTCTACTTAATACTATTTATTTATAATTGTAAGGAAATGTGAAACTGCGACCATCGGGTCTATTGTGCTCCCTTCATATCTACTTAGCATGGATCGGGTGATTTACTGCCAGAAAAAAATTTTTTGCGGAAGTATTAATGGTAATGAATGCAAAATTAGGACGAAATAATTTTATAAAAAAGAAATCAATTTGCCAATATCAGTGCCATACGGAAAAGTACCATGTAAAATGATTTATTTTTTAATATATCGGGAATATCTTTTTGGATGATTTTTGCTCTTAACACTGTTGTGCTACTTGTTTAACTTTGAAGATTTATTATACGACAGATTTGAATTTCCAATAATGTAGTTGTTACTTGGCGTTTAATATCGTGAGATTTAATACTGTTTATCTTTGTTTGGGAAAGTATAGAAGCGAGTGGCCAACGTGGGCAAGTCAACATAAATTCCTATTTTAGAAGAAAATATTGAGCGCGTTATTCATAAAATGAAGTATTAAATATTCCGAAGATTTACGCACAACTGGGTCTCCAACATGAAGTGTTTAAGATGTTTTTGTAATGACTAATTGGCGAAATCGGTTTTCTTTATATGCCATAAAATTATATTTCAAAATATATATCTCGTTTATTGAGTTTGTGTATCTTTGCATCGTATTCTAAATTTCTTAAAAAATACCCTATATACATGATATATACAGATTGTAATAAACCCTATATACAGATTATAATCCATGCAGCTGTTTTTTCACAAAAAAATTTATATATATATTTAAGTAAATTATTGAAATATTTACCTGTGCATCCGAAAATAGAAAAACGGTATGATTTCGATTGAAACTAGAAGTCATTAAAATTTTCTTTAAGTCATCTCTCCAGTCTTGTTGCGTATAAGTTTTCGTGACTTGTACAGTCATTAATTTGCACTCAGCAATGCTTGAAGCAAGTCTACAGGAACTGCGCCTACCAGAACCACCCATACCAACCATCAAAATATTACCACGCGGCATTTGCAAAACACGAGACACTCTAGGACATTTAAGACATTATATTAAAAATTTTGTTATTTTTTTTAGTTTTATAATACCTTGATATGTGTTCAATAGCAAAACGGAATAGTACTAAATCCATTGGTGTGCTTGAAAAGTCATTATACTCATGCAAATAGTACGTCATTAGCTTCTCCAATTTATTGTAGTTTTCAACTTCATCATATATGCGAGGATTTGCATCTGGTTCGATGTAATTACCATAGAATAAATTTCTTAAATCGTTATCCGTCAATTTTGCTGACATATCCTCCATACGTTCAGCAAAAGCGGATTCCAAATTGAAACGCAAATAATTCTTACAGGCACCTAATACTATATCCAAAAGGCGGTCACGATCTCGTTGCTCAATCAAACTGGAAAAAGAGGAAATGGAAATAATTTCGTATGCAAATATGAGATATGCTAGCATTTGTGACCAAATTGTTATGATACCAAATTATTTTGTGTGCGCTTACCGATGCATAAACAGGATGTGTTTAGTGGTACTTTTACAGGAAATTTATGTTATTGTACATTTTTATTGGTTGGTTGGAATATATTGTGCATGTACTGCAAACTGCAAACTGCAAACGGCAAACTGCAATATGTGGTGCAATGCAAAGTAATAAAATTTTTGTGAAATGATGTGTAAAATAATTGAATACACACATATTTAAATTGATCCTTTGAAATTTTCGTTGAAAATCAATAATTTGAATAAATGTAAGTGAGCATTCAGTTTACAGTGAAAGGCGTTTATCTGAAACATTTCAGTTCTTTGAGTAATACTTTCATGATAACTTGCCATTCAAACTGAGTTCTTCAAACCATTCAAACCATTTCTTTAAAGTTTGAATCAAAAAGTAAGTTTATATTACAAAATAACTAGAACCATGTCTGCAACAGATACTCAAAATATTCAACATGCATTGTTGCATAGTTGAATGAATTTTTCAAAGAAGAATTTTAAGTTATAGAATTAGTCAATTATTCAGTAAATTTCAATAAAAATGCATATATGTTGATCTAACTAGTACCACATATCTATATTTTAAATGTTATAGTAACAAAATTTTTTTACGGTAATGCCAATAATTGTCATATGTTTTCACTTTTGCATGAAAAATGACTTTTTAAAGAAAGATACAGTTTCACACCCAACAAACTTGTAGTAATATTTAATGAAAAATTTTTGCAAAGATTTCAATGTAAAAATTAAAAAATCAAAAACTATAATAAACAGTCCACCTTATCTGACAAACAAACATTCAAAATTATTGAAAATCATTAAATCAAAGATTCTTAAATCATCCTAATCCTCTTACGTATATATTGGATATAAACTCCTACTCTTACAGATGTGAAGAGAAACAATGTGCCTCAAAGAAAGTCACACAAACACGGCTTAATAAGTATTTATATACATGTCTTATATATAAATCAGTTTCTATTATTGTATAATATTATTGCATTATAATTGAAATTAGTTTTAGATAAATACAATTTGTAATAAAATAAAATTGGGATATTTCAATCTTTTACGCTAAACAGGCCCTAACCGAACAGAAGACATTCCGCCTTCGAATGAAGGTTAGAATGTCGGCCGTTCAGGTCCTCCTAATGTCAGAAGAGGAGGGTAGTTCTCGACCTAGTGACCTCCTTCTGGCCCATATCAAGTCTAGGCAGTCACATAGAATGTGACTATAAGTCTCTTCTGCTTCTAAGGAAAGTCGACAATCTATCTCTTCGGA